AAAATCTACAATGGTACTGGCATAGGTTGAAGTTTTTTTTTTTTTTTTGTCACTCTCTGCTTCTTGCTCTTCTTTCTTCAAAACAAAATAATTCTACTTTATGTATTCTTTCTTCTTATGATATAAGCAAGTGATATCTCTGAATTTGTTCTCAGATATACTTCGACTAAAATTAATAGAGAACCCTTCGTCATAAGCTCGGCTTCTAACCTAAAATAAATCTTAAGTTGGTTTATGACCTCCAAGCTCAAAAATCACCTCATTTGAAAGAAAGAAATTCTTGACATCCTCTAGAATTATTATATCAAGATCATAAAATATGGTATATCGAAAGTACTTGTAAGAGAGACGTGAAGATCACATTAGCAACAAAGTTTGATCCTCTTCATCATCAATAACAAAAACAACAAACTTTTATCCCAGTGAATATGGTCGGGACTACATGAATTCTTTTTCTCCATTACGTCAAATTTAAGAGTCAAATTCTCATTCAAACCTAAAAAATAAAGGTCGTTTTTAATACTTTCTAACCAAATCTTTTTATGTCTATCTTTATCTTTCTTAATATAGGTCAGATCTACTACATCAACTTTCTAATCAGGTCATCAGAATGCCAATGTTTTATGTGATCAAACTACTAAGGCAACTCTCTCTAATCTCATCTACCACTGGAGCTACTCGAAATTTTTCATATATATACACGTTTCACATTCTATCTCTAAGTGTAAAGCCACTTATCCACTTGAGCATTCTCATCACAGCAATACATAACTTAATTTTATGTTTCTCTTTTAAAGGCCAACATACTACACCATTCAACATTGCATGTCTCACCACCATCTCATAAAATTTTCCATTAAATTTGAGGAATACTTTTCTATCACACAACAGATATGATGCATTCCTCAACTTTGACCATCTGATTTGAATTCTATCAATAATATCCCAATCTATTTCACCATCGCTTTGAACAATAGGCTCGATATATCTAAAGCATGCACTCTTTGTCATGACTTGATCATCCAATATCGCAATCCCACCACTATATCTATTACTGATAAAATTATAGTCCATTTATTTGGTTTAGATTTCAAGGTTGACCTCCATAATTCAAGTTTTTCATCAACTACGTATCTAATCTTATTAACAAGAAGAATATCATCAGCAAAAAGACACCAAGGTAAATCCTCTTGAAAATGTCTAGTAAGAACATCAACAACTAAAGCAAAAAGATATGGGCTTAAAGTCGATCCTTAATGTAATCCAACATAAAATGGAAAACACTTGTCAAACCACCTTGTGTTTGAACACAAGTAATAGCACATGCATTAATATCCTTAATGACTTGAACATAAGAATTATTAACTCCTTTCTTTTCTAGAACTCTCTAGAGCGCTTCTCTTCAAACTTTATCAAGTGCTTTGTCAAAATCAATGAATATCATACGTAAATACTCCTTACACTCTCTATACTTCTCAATCAAACTTCTCAACAAATGTATAGCTTTCATAATAAACCTACACAGCATGAAGCAAATTGATTTTGAGAAATATTAGTATCACGGCATAATATATACTCAATCACTCTCTCTTATAATTTAATGTATAATACATTAACTTAATTTCTCTATAATTTGCACTCTTTTTCAATACCTTTATTTTTAAAAATAAGAACCAACACACTACTTCATTCATCGACATCTTTTTATTTTTGAAAATAACATTAAAAGTTTAGTAAGACAAGATATTCATTCATCTCCTAAGTATTTTCATATTTCCATTGGAATATCATCAGGTCCTACTATTTTTTAACATTTCATTTTCTTTAAAGTATCTCCAACTTTAGTTTTGATAATACGACAATATAAAAAAATCTCTATTTCCATTTAGGGAGGTGCTAAAGTCACTTGTATTCACAACTTTCATTAAAAATTTTATCCAAATATATCATCCATCTATATTGAATATCCTCTCAAAGAAAAGTAACTTTTGATCATAATCCTTAATGCACTTCACTTGAACTAAATCTATAATTCTTTTATTTTTTTACTTGGTTAGCATATACATACATATTTCGCCCTTTTTAGTATCTAATTTATTGTATAAATAACTAAATGTTAAATTTCTTTGCATTACATATTACGTTTTTATAATCCCTAGGCCCCTCTATACCATTCCCAAATTTTTGAACTTATATATCTAAATCAAATTATATGACAAAGTTTCAGAGCTTTTTTGCTTTGATTCTTTAAGCACATACTCTGCAACATTCTAAATTTCATTAATTATTTTTTTCCTACATAACATCAATTTTCCTCATGAATAACACAAATCTAAAATCTTAAATTTTACTCTCAAAAATATTTGAATTAGCACTATTTAAATACCACTATCTAATTATAGGATAATACCACTTTCATTAAAAATTTAATATGGTCTTACTACATTTATTAGTTGCTCCGAACACATAGCCATCATTAATGTTTATAACATCTTCTATCATTCTACTGACATCCATTTAAATCTCCTCCAATAAAAACTGTTTTTTAAGTATTCTTTATATTAATTCTTCTAAGTCATTACAAAATTTTATTTCATAAAACATATACAAGCGTACTTGAGGAGCATAAGCATTTACAATATTAATAATCTTAGTATCAACAACAATCATTAAACTATAATTCTATCCAATTCTATAAATTTTTATAATTTTATCTTTTAAACCTTTATTTATAATCACACTACGTCATTTCTAATACAACTCCTAACAGAATATCAACATTAAAATCCTAAAATATCAATCTCCTTAGTATTTTTTTTAACCCGTTTAATTTCCTGAATGCATACAATATTTATATTTTTATGAATCATAATATTTATTAATTATATTAATTTACCTGTAAGAGTACCTATATTAAAATTTAAAAACTCCTATCACAATAATAATTTCATGGACTAGGTCCTTAACCAACATTCATCCTTGATATAAAAACTTTTGCTTATTTAACATTATACCTGAGTGCCAGTATAATAGCTCTTACAAATTTTTTATTATACTCAGATCATACAGCGCGTTGCTTTTAGGGAACGTCCTATTATTAACACAATGTATCACATGATTTGATTTTCATCATCAACAATCATATCAATATTTTTAAAATCTCAAATGATGAAAATAAATTAATTCAAAAGTAATTTAATAAACATATTTACGGATATGTGAAGTAATTAGAATATTTGCTACTGATATAGTTTGTTGAAGAGGCTTTTTGCCATATATAAAGTCCCCAGTTCAAGCCAGAAATCTTCTATAGTGTCTCCTCTAAGAAGCCTTTTGTCATGACATTGTCCGCCAAACACAACAAAATCATGGAGAGATTCTCATCTATCTTTATATTATCTTCTTCACTTATGATTCCAAGCATCTTGATGTGCTTAGGAGTGCCACAATAAGTCTCGATTCAATAAAAACACCACACATCTTCACTCTCCAAAGGCCAAAACTTTTTCAGCTATCAAACTTCTCAATCTCGAACTTCATAGCCATCATAATTTTCATAACCTTGCTTTGATATGAATTGTTAGAAAAGATAGTGTTTTAACCTAAAAGCAAGTACGAGAAACTACTAAGTAAATATAAACGTGATCAAATACCACAAAAGAGGACACCAAACTTTACATGGTTCTTTTATATATATATATATATATATGAGGGATTAGACTTCATAGAAAATTATAGATATGGATAAATATGGTAATTTTTTGAAATGACAGAACACGCAATCACCTACAACAAAGATGAGAGCTACATGTGCAAAAGGAGATATTGGTGTTGCTCCAACATCACCAACTTAGAACATAAGAATGAATGAGTCTTGAATTGGTAGCAACAAGTCCTAAAAATCAAATATATATGGATCTGGAGTTTGGTAACTACCAATCTTGAAAATCAAAATCAAATTAATCTTATAAAAAATGATTAAAAATGAGAAAATGATCAAAATGGTTCATTGACTATTTATGAAAGACCAAAATAGTCCCTAACTATATAAAATGACCATTTGGGTTACTTTTTAAGGGGTTGAGAGATCAAAATGATCATTTAATATAGTTGGGGACTGATTTGATCTTTCAGAAGGAGTCAAGGACCATTTTAATCATTTTCTTATTAAAAAAATTAGACTCAACATCAAACAATTTCATAATAGAACCTTGTTCAATTATCTGCTATGGTCAATGCAAGTCCAAAACACAATCATCCACATGAACCATAAGGGATAGATACCCGTTAATTATTAATCTGCTGTCTTAAAAATTCTCTATCAATCAAGCATACTCTCATTTTCCTTCTATAACTCAGGGTGCCAACTAAAGAAGAGAAGTCTATAGCCAAGTATATACACCATATATATAATTATAAACTTCTTTCAAAGGTAATTTTATGTCAAGTCTAAAGTTACTATGGCCTCTTATACTCTCTTAAAGTTTAAGGGCATGCCATATTCAAACCTCCTAGTAACATCTTTAGTCATTTATGCTGACTACTTCCTCTAACTTGTTCTCTCAATAAATATTTAACAGAATACATTAAATGTTTTAAATTACCTGCCCCTTAATCTTTCCTTTGGTAAGTACTGCCGAATAAAACCCATCAAAAAGAAAAAATCCGAAACTTCATTCATACTTCTCCTCCCTAGTTTATATTCATATCTCAAAGGATATAATAGTAGCTCACAAGGAAAACTCATAATACTACAAAGTGGAAGAACTCTTACCCCAATCTCTTTTCCCATTCATTAGTTCAAAGCATTAGAAAAACATCATGCTATTCACTTTAATGGCCCCACAAGAACATGCTCATTGTATGTTACTTCTATATGAAAGTAGCAATATATCATAAAAGATCCCAAAAACTACAAAAATACATCCACGCAATTACTGAATTGCAAAAATATTATTAAAAAAAAAAAACAAAAGAAATCAGTCTAAATAGAGGGTTACCTGGACAGTATGAGACTGGATGCTGAGGACCCGACCTGTCTTAGAAGGAAGAACAATGGAGAGGATTGGCGGTGACGCCAAATTGGAATTCTTGAACCTGGCAACACCTGATAAAATTAAATCTTAGAGCTTCAATAAAATAGGAGCAATCATCATAAACTACGTTGCAAGAGAGGTGAAACAGCATCGATCTACTTCCATTTTCAAACTTCGTTTTTCTTCATTTTTTTTTCTACAAACCATTTAAAATAAATTTCCATTCGTGTAAATAAATAATATTTAACTTTCTGAAAACTGCCATCTTAAAGACTAAAGCATCTATATAAAGGCTACGTCACCGGAAAAGGTTGTAGAAGGAATAGGAGCTATTATAAACAACGTAGAATAGTATTTAGAGTGAAAATGGTTTGGGAAGAACCAAAACTCGAAAGGAAAGTGGAATCCCAGGCTTTTCAAGCTGCTTTTTCCTAGAATTTGCATAGAAGATGCTATTACTCTTTTTTTTTTGGTGATGCAGTTATTTAACCCTTTGACGGAGAAAGCAGAGTATTTATTGGCTAAGGAGCAAATTCCTGCTCAAAGGAAATAATTAAGTTCTCAAATAGATGAGTAAGAGATTGAGTGCTTGATAAAGGCTGAATGTGCCAAATAAGTGAAAAAAAAGGTGATTCACCCATTATTTACCAGAGAGTTATTTTTAGATTAATAGCTTTCACAATGAAAATCAAGACCATTATATTCTTCTACATCATGCAAACTAAGGTGATAGAATTTATCATAATGGCACAAATGGTTTGTTTTCAAAGGCATGAGTTACTTTTATAACATTAATTTAACATACATGACCAACTTAATGTCTGAAATAAGATGAATATGCTTGATTTTCAAGATTACATTGCGAGTATTTTTCCAACAAAAGAATTTGCACACAGTTTCTTTTCTTACTAAGCTTTGATGTGTAGCAATAACATTGTCGAATTTTGATTCCTTACTTTTATGTCACCATTCAGCAAATTGCAATACGTCTCACTTCCAAAAGAAGGGAATGTGAATAACAGTCGCATTCAGCAAAACTTTAAAATTTTGAGTTTTTTTACAGTAATGCATATTTATTTGATTCATTTTGAAAAATAAAAGTTTTATGCATAGCATATTTGTATCTATAAATGAGATTTTTACGCAATTGTATCATAAATACAGCCTATTAGCTATTTTATTTTAGAAAAAAAATATCAAAGACGTTTACGAGTTGAAGCTCTTTTTTTCAATAAATCTTTTAGCAGAAAAAAAATGAGATTACCATATTCATAAGTTCACAAAAACATATTGGTTTTAGAAGCTACTGTGTATTTCCACATTTTTTGTCTCTGTTTCAATTTGAAACAAGAATTTTCAAATTATCTCGATCTCTGAAAAAAAAACTATTAACAAAATCGTAAACCAATGCCACGGGCTATTAACATAAGGCCAAAAAAAAACAAGCAAAATCAATTGAAACTAAAGGGCTTCCCGATTCCCCGCTGAATCACAGATCCCAAAATCCGCCCTATCGCCTCCACAAAGAGCCGGTATAGCAATGCTAGAAATAATAAAGAAAACGCAGTAAATTAGGAATCTGAGAATGGAAAGTAAGAGACCGGGAAAACCTGTCAACGCAGTTATCCTTGGAGGGCTCATCGACCTCCTCGACACGATGCTCCATCTGAAACCTATAGTTATCCGCCTTCGCCCCTGTCGCGCCCGGCGCCAAGACGATATGAAGTATTAAGAGGCCGGGATAAAGCTTCTTTATAATTTCTTGCTTCTTTCTTCTAAGCTTCCCTGGAACGTCTCGCTACAGTGCGAAGAGAATTTTGACTTTAAATGCATTTCCAAATTTTTTAGATTTTTTTTTTTTTTTTTTTTTTTTTTTTTTTTTTTTTTTTTTTTTGTCGGATCAAAATATTTTAGCTTTATATGATTCTAAATAGTCCCACAAAAGTCAAAAATTTTAGATGGATCATTAAACGTAAATTTTTTAGAAAAAAATAACCTCCAGTAAATTTTAATTGGAACAAAATTACTAATTAGTTTTAGCATTTGCGCAGAAAATGTAAAATGGGATTTGATTTTCTAAAACATCTAAATCCATTTTAGGTTTGGGCAAATTTTTAAAATAAATATCATTAAAAATTTAATTAACTATTAAACCATCGAAATAAATAAATTTAAAACTAGGCAAAATCGCCCAATAAATGGGCGACTTGCTCAAGTTATAAAACCCTTAAGAAAACATTTCAGGAGAGAGAAATATATAAGAGAGATAAAGAATGAGAGATAAATAAAAAAATTCAAAACCATTCTTTTTTTATTCACGGTGTCTTAGAGATGAGGTACATCAGATTTTTTTATTTTTTTATTAAAATCTTAAATGCAAATATTTTTTTCTTATTTTTAAAAAAAAGTTTAAATAAAATATTTTTTATGAGTTAATATGTATAAAAAAATTTAACAATTTAATTTTTCATAATCAATTTAAAAACAAATCTTTTTTTTTTTATTTTTTGTTCATAATACAGGTATTATTATTTAAAATTTATATTGTTTTAAGGAAATAATATTGTATATAAATATTTATCTTATTTTTTCATTAATCAATTTAATGATTTTTATTAAAATTAGATATTTTCAAAAAAATCACGTTACTTCAAAAAATATAACATAGTTTTTATTTATATTTAATAAAAATTAAGTTACTCTCTAAATTTAATGAAAGAGTAAAGATAAATATTTATTTAAAATATCATTTTCTTTGGAACAAGATAAATTTAAAATAACGATAATTTATTATGAATAAAAAATTATAAAAAAATATGTATTTTTAAATTGATTATGATAAATTAAATTGTAAAATTTTTTGGCACGTAATAACTCATTAAAAATTTTTCATTCAATTTTCATCTCTAAATATTTATAAAAATAAAGAAAAAATATTTACAGATTTAGATTTAAATAAAAAAATCAAAAAACGATATACAATCCATCTCCGGACAACATGAAGAAAAAAAATGTTTTGATTTTTTATTTATATCTTCATACTTTAATTCTTTATCCTTTTAATTTATTTCTCTCTCACAACTTTCTCATCATCCTAATCATTTTTTTTTTAATATTTATAACTTGAGCAAGTCGAACGCCATTCAACATGGGCGACTTTGTTAGTTTTTAATTCTAAATCTTTTTTCTGTGGTTAACTAAACATCTAATTTAAATTTCAATGATAATAGTATTTTAAAAATTTATCCCTTTTACCGGTTCTATAGAAAACGCAAAATATATTCGGTTTTTTTTTAAAAAACAACTCAATTTTTTGTATTCTTATACTCAAATTATTAAAAACTTAACTTAACAAATTACTTTTAAAATTCATAACCCTTTAATCATCTAAAATTATGTATAAATATTTATAATTGTAACATTAACATGTTTAAATATTAAAAATAATTTAATATATACTTTAGGATTATACGTTTTTACATAATTAAATCAAGCTATGAAAATTTACAAAAAATCAAATTTAAAATTTATAATTATTTTTTTGTGATTTAATGACTAAAATTCATACGTTTTAAATCCGATATCCGTGGCTACGAACCGGACTAGATGAGAGACGGTTCACTCTGGTTCGACGGATTTCAACGGTCACATACCGGGCGTCAATCGGATGACGAATATAATGATTACATTTAGAAGGAATAAATACATTATATAATAATATAACTTTTTATAAAGTTAAAAATAATAAAAATTTAACTTCACACCATTCTCTACCTACTTCTTATACTTATTTTATTTAAATAACATATCAATTCAATTTTAATTAAATTTAGAATTAAAATTTAAATAAAAACTTCAACTTCCTTATACATGAATTTACATAAGTTCTAATATAAATAACTATCCTTAATTTGGTTTATGTTTATAAATTTATATATTAGATCATATATTATTTAACATTATAAATTATTGAGGTAAATAATCAATTTATATATATAAATAATAAAAATAA